TCAGTATTTATGTAACAGTCAACCATTCAGAGCCATAGTAAGGATTTTATTAGACAAGCACTGAAGAATATCTGTGTTGCATAACTGAAGGTAAATTACTTTGCTTTGTAAGGCTAGACACAGAATAAGCCACAACATTTGTAATCAACTTCTTTCCTCGATTTTCACAGCCTGGCTGCACAGAAAAGTACTTGAAGAGTGTTGGCCTAAAGATCAGCCTCTGAACAGTAACAAAGCTGACTGGTCCATTGACTCGATTCACATCCTGGAAGGCTGACTGACAGAACACGGTCAGCAGCATATCCAGGACGGACTTGCCCATGGTCACCAAGATCAATTAAGCAAGGTAGCCAGCACAGAAGAAGTGTCAGTCTTTGTGTATAGACTGTCTGGCTACTAATTAACCCATGTGGGGTCAACTGAGGAAGTTATACTGCAATAAATGCTACTTAAACAAAAAAAAATGTAAGAGTTATTAGACTTCAGATAACTGATTTACAGCCGTTAACCACATGTGCTTCAGTGCGGTAAAGGCCTACAGACTGAAACTATTTTAACTGTGAAATTACTGAGAAACATGACTGCTTAAAACTGCAAAACAGCATCCACATGAGCAAAATGCCTTCAGTCCAGAGAGATAACAAAAGATTTACCTTGCATCCTTATGGTAGCATACAGAGAAAGCAAAACCAGGAGGACATTCAAACACAGCATCTAGAGATTCAGATACACTATTCATTTGATTTACTGGAGCTTAAACACATGAAAAAAGTAATCAGCTAAGAAAATATGGCAGAAGACAATCATTAAGAATACATGGGGTAATGTATCTGTCAAATAAATTGGCATATAAAGGAAGTGATTTCAGATATAAATGCAGAACCCTGGGCCCAACAGCATACTACCTATACAATAGTACATTGTTATACTTGTCACTTGTCACAATACTGACACAAATAAGATGATTTTGTCAAACCTACTCTATAGCCACCACATGGTATGCTACTGTCAACTTTTGAATTTGGTCCCCAGAAGAGTCAAGATTAGAATGACTCAGTTGATCACCATCAGTAGATGATCAAGTGCACTCTAAATTATCATTAGAGAGGGCATGGTTGGTGGTGTGTAAACATTCCCCCATATGCCAGCATGACTTCAAGTGTCGCTTCACATTGTAATTACCTCATTCTATTGCAAGCTGCCACTGGAAAAGTCAGTCTCATACCTTCTTTTCCTTCCCTTTCCCCACTGCTCATTCCCAATGTCTCTCTTACATCAGATCAAGACACTGTGCTGGCATTTTAAGTCCTGAGTTAGCTCATGTGAATGGGTGGGGAAGATAGACTAGAGAGGAAAAAGTTCCCCCAGTCACATCATCAAGCATACCCAGGATCACCCTGCAGCCACACACAAGCACTGCATCTGAGGCATGGAAAAGGCAGGAACACATCAGTCATAGATAACATCAGTCAGAGATAACAGCAGAACTGCCCATTCTGGCAGTAGCCCACAGTTCGACTGTACAAGACACAAGTACTTCCCAAACCAGTCTCTGAGAAAAGCAGATAAAACTAGATCTAAGCTTTGTTGCCTTGGACTGATGAACACCACACCTCAGATGAGCTAACAGGCATCATAAACTTGCTAAAGTGCTGCTGATCTGCCTGGCATACAGGCAGAATTCCAGGGGTCCATTTAACTTCAGAGTAGTGGCTTGGGCCTCTTGGGCAAGACCCTTCTCCTGTCAAGCTGAAAACTTCTCTGCGTGAATAGGCTCCCAACAGTCACTAAAAATTTCCCCAGCTTTGAATTCTGCTTCCCTTGGCTTTGGTCCATTAGAGCAAAGCCCAGAATTCACTTTCTAGATAAACAACTTCTAAGAAAGTACGGGAACCACAGCTACAGAAAAAGAAGGTGAGTAAATTCTTAGAGACAAGCAACAAAGGCAAACACATGTGTTTGTATTAATGTCTCCTCCTCAAATATGAGGAGATATCCACCTTTTCCTATTACTTAATTTGATATGATCAGAAAATCATTTAGGTTGGAAGAGACCTTTAAGATCAAGATCATCAAGTCCAAATGATAGTGACCTTGTTTCTTTTCCTTACATATGAAGAAGCAGGAAATAAACCTTTCCTTGGCCCAGCCACAGTCATCATCTGACAGCTTAAGAAAGTTACAGAAGACATAACCCCATGTGTCTGACCATACTCAGTAAATATTCTGACAAAATAAGAATCAATTGTCTCCTTGCTTGCAAGTGAAGACACTTTTTTTCTTATGAAACCACTTCTTGTTTCCATTTTAAAAATAAATAAATATCTAAAATGCAAGGTCATCAACAGAATGCTCAAGTACTCTAAGCCTCATTTCAGTAACACAGTCACAAGCTTCCTATCACACAGCAATCTGGGTGGTGAGCCCACTGTTCCACAAAGAGCAAGAGAACACAAACAAGTCCAAAGCCGCTGCCTATATCTTCCAAAACTTGCAAGACGTAGGCACTGCAAGTGAGAAATGGAGAAGTTTGCTTTGCTTTTTTTTGTTATAGGCACCAGAACACCCCATATCCTAAGCCAGAACTAAAATTCTGTCTAGCCTGCTAGCCTGTCTGAATGTAAGCACATGTCAAACTGTGACAGTTGCCTGCTTCACCTTCCCGGAGATCCGAAGCACATGGATTTCCTGTCCCGGCCATTAAATATTTGCACGCAGTCACAGTCTTTTTTTCCTTGTCTCATTTATCTGCCTTTTGAAAACCAACTTCTAACCTCTACGTGAACTTCTATAACTATACAGTGGACCTCATCATCATGTGCAAAGAAAGAATTTTTGCTTTGCATCTACTATCACAAGGGATCTATTGGTTTGTAATAACAGTAAGATACCCATACCTTACTTTCTTTGAGCTACTCATGATTTTCAAAGTCTTTCACCACATTTCTCCTTCCAGGTACCTCTTCTCAGTACAAAAGTATCCAAATGCATTTGGTATCTCCTTCTACAGAAGTATTCTTTACTCGTCAGCTTCCTCTAACTTGCATAGTTCTGCTAAGTCCTCAGTACTATTGTAATCTTTGACAACCACTTTACTTACTCAACTATTTCTAAACGTTAAGCTGAAGTGCTTATGAATCTGAACATAAAGAATTCAGCCCTCTCACCAAGACAAATGTATTTTTTCACATTTACTCGTGCTTATTTTCCCAGTACCACAAAGCCTTTCAAGTCTTTCCCAGTTTTAACCACTAGGAATATAACCTCTCTCATCAGTATTTCTACCCTCTTTCTGAAAGAAGATAGCACAGACCTATGCAGTAGGCCCAAAATGACCACTTATACCCTCTTTTCTAAATTTAAAACAATTACCCACCCATGACAGAACTTCCCCGTTTACTCCATTACAGGTGTATTTTCTTGAAGAGCCTCTGGTGTGGCAGTCTGTCCAAAAACCCTTCAGTAGATCCAGACCAACTTTACACCAAGCAGCACTAATTGTGTCCCCACCAACTTTATAGAACTCTACTAGCCACACACAGCATGACTTGCCTTTACAAAAGATATAGCAGCTTTATCAAACATATCCATGTATTTACTGATTATTCTGTTTCTTAAAAAAGAATTCATGATATTTTATCATATTCACTTTAACCACAAACAGCAGTAGAAGAGGCAGTTTGTCTGATCATCAGTATGCATTTGTTCCAAGACTCAAATATCTCTTCCCCTCAAATCTTTAATAAATCTGCTATGCCAATATCCTAAAATACATATAAGAGAAACTAGATAGCCTGATTTATTTAATATACAGACATACATATGCACACCTTTTCTTAAATAAAAATTCAAGCATTTTCTATCAATGCACACACAAAGTTTCCTCCTTTTTTCCTAAATCATGTTCTAAATGTGTTTCGTTTATTGGAAGCTTTTTGTTTCTTTTTTTTTTAATTCTGCAGTAGTTTGCACCATCTCTTATCAGAGCTACTGATTCCTGGATAACATACAACTGCAAGAACAAGAACACTAATTTTAAAGGCTGCAAAACTCCAGAAATCTTCCATCAGTTTTGGCTTGTCTCCTATCATCACTTGAAAATTACAGCAGCACCAACACAAGCCACCTTTTCCAAAGGGGCTGGACATCACCTCCTCTTCCTAACAAACCTAATTCCATTTTCTGTTTTGTCTTATTTTCTAAGCTTAAACACTGATTTTCTCTCCTCCACTTTTCCACTCTGCTCCCAAGTATGGTGCAAGGTGCAGGGTGCAGTTACAAAACGTGAAGCTCAGCAAGTAGAGTGTCACCTCGGAGTACTTGCTGGTAAAAGGAATACCTCACTATACAGCCCACTACTGAAAACAAAGGACTCAAAGAAACTACAGATTGTTTGACACCTACAATAGAACACTTTTCAGAGAAGCTGTTTCTTGATTAGAAATAACAAAACCTGCTTCCTACAGGCTTCCTCTACATTACTGCTGTTATAAATGCACTAAGACACTTTAAAATAACTCATTTTGGTTCCCTCTCACATTCTTCAATGGAAATCTCTTCCCTTCTCATTCCTTAAGTAATGCTAGTTACTTCTCATGCTCCCTCATTACTGAGTGAGAACAAGACAATCTTATGCCTGTTTCAAAACCTCGCATGCACTAAGGGGCCTGCTGACAGACTGTGAGGTGAAAGGAGTAAGGGGAAGAAGCCACAGTTTTGCCTTGAACAAAGCAGTAATTTTCAAGAAACTCACAAGATCTTCATAATTCAAAATGCTTTTGCTTCTGCTGATGATCACTCCGCAGAGGAACACACAAAGATAGTCAGCAACCGCATGAGCTTGTTTCCTGAGGAACCAAGGCACAGACTGGTCCCTTGGCATCAGTCAAGATCTTGTCTCATAACTCCAACTTCTACTGTGGCTTCTACACTTAATTCACAATTTTATTTTAGTAAGTAAGTAATTTAAAAAATTAAGTAATTAAAAAAAACAAACTCACCGTTTTATTACGCAGTCTAATTATGTCCGAAACAGAGCCAGCTCCACAATATTCCATAACAATCCATAGATCTGTGTTCTTAAAATAGCTGCCATAGTACTTGACAACATAGGGACTAGACGAAAAAAAAGTTACATAAATAGATTAATTAAGCAGTAGAAAAAAATTCATTAGTACAACTGTTGTTACAAATTACAGTTTGCCACACACTAACAAGCTAAAGAGCAAGTGTAATCACATACATTTTAAAGTTGTAATTAGCTTAACCAATGCCTTGCTAGAGCACAATCTGACTACTTAAGAAAATTATAAAGGCACTATGACATACCATATATATATATATATATATATATATAAAAACAAGTTTCCAGCAATCTTCAAATAGTTTTACCAAAGATTAGTCTTCTGCCAAAAACCTTTGTTTTTCCCTCCTCTAAGGTCTCTCAATTTTTAAGTCTTCCATTCAATATCTAACAAAGCTATCGAATGTTTTCCTTCTTAAAAAGACTGCCTTGTTTTCTTGTCTCCTGAGCAAAATAACATGGAAGCTGATCCATGTTTTCACAGGTTTGCAAGCATGAACTTATTTCCAGCACAGAGGTAGACTCACTGGTTTGAACAAGACTTCTGGATTCGCAAATGCATTTTCAAATTCATGTGAAGGGATAGTATTGTCATAAACAGAACATATTGCTTCACTACTCAGCATTTGTGACTTGACATAAGGTTTCCTTGGAGTCACCAGCAAAAGAAAGGTAGAAACAGATGTGATAAACCTAACAAGGTTCATGATTCAGAAGAGTTATTAGAAGGTATATTTATGGAAACAAAAGACTGAAGGTTTGGAGTAGGGTTTTTTTGCAAGAACTTGAACAACGGAGATTACAGGTCAATTGCCATCCATCTCCCACAAACTTGGAAAGTAAGATACTGAGATTTCAGACAGTGGTTTCTCATCAGAACACCTACATTGTGAATCAAAGACCATTTGGTTTTGGAGTAAGGAATTATATTTTAGAATCAGCATGTCTGGTAGCAACACTCTTAGTTAGAAAACTGATACAGTAAAAAGAGAGGACCTATGGCTGCCTCCTGCAACATGGTGCTATCTTTACAAAAGATAGGTCAAAACTATCAGCAAACTACTTCATTTAAGAGCAACTGTTAGTACTAAAGGAACTTGCCTCTACAGAAGGCAAGGCGGGTCAGTCTCCTCCTAACTAATCAAAATGCCTACCATTTACAAGTACAACATATTGATCCTGCTCCTTAAAAATTCATTAAGTGAGGAAGGCTACTATTACTTCTGAAGAAAACCCACTGATTTTTCTGACAGTCTCTTGCCAGATTTACACTGTGTTCCTATTCCTAGCAAAAAATGGGTATTATCAATCAGGATAAGGTGACCTTTTCAAAACATCAAGTGTGCAGTCTCAAAACACTGTTCACATTTACTTAAAGCCTTGTCCCAGTTAATTATATAGACCATACTTTTCCAGATCAACTGCTTGTCTTGGAATACATGTTTTTCCCCTTAGAAGAGCTTCAGTACATGAAGCACAATTAGTGCTAGAAATGAGCATGGAGAAGAACAAAAGACTAAAGTGCTAAGATTTAATCATCTTTTATTTGAGATGCTGCAACAACTCAGTACCTTCCTGTAATATCTGCAGAATCATCCCAAGTGAAAATCAAGTACTAAAAAGCGTGTCATCCCTCCCATCAGTACTGCACAGCACTGCATTTGCACAAAGGCACGTGACACCTATACAAGAACATGAGGCAGATCTGCAGCCCAAACTTCCTTTTTAACCAGAGAATGGCTGCAGCTTGTCCAGTGAAGGAAGAGTTTGTGTTCTGAAATTCTGAAGTCTTAAAAAAATTCACACGACAGTACATGTCCAGTAGATACTAAATGAAGTATATTGTTCAAAGAAAACCAGGAAACAAAGAACAAGGGCAGAGAAAAGAGGGACAGAACAGAGGACACAAAAATAAGGCTGAGGAGGCTCACCTAACACATGAATGAAAGTGTCACAAGAAGCACAGTACGGAAAAACAGATTAAACTTTTAGAAAATTCTCCAGCGTCACCACTTCTTTTCTCTGTCAGTATATTTTACAGACATTTGTTTTAAGTATTTATTTCAATCCTGGTCTAGTACTTGCAGACATACACAAACTACAATCTTCACCACTGCTTCCAGGCAGCTCACATGGCTCAATCCTGTGCAGCAACTAAGGGTTGACGTGGGGTCAGTGATAGAAGTCTTTATGAGAATTTATAAGGTACCATTTTCCAACTTATGTCTTCCTTCATCTAAGTGGAAATAATTATTTTTACACCCCCCCTGCTTCATTTAAGAGCACAGCAACAAGAACCAAAACAAACATATTTTAACTCTTTTTCAGTGTACAGAAAGAGTTGAGGACCTACTCTGGGCATCAAATCTAGTTCCACAATTAAGCAGACAAACAAGATTGCTGCTTCCTTTTTCATCTGTACCCATTACAAAACTCCACTTGGCTGGCCAGACAAAAGAATAGTCTCATTGGGATGAAACGGATTAAGAGTGGTCCCTCAAAAAACTCAAGGGTCCCAAATTCCTTTACTATCACCTGAAATAATTTTACCAGACATCTTTGTGGAATGTGTGAGGGAAAAAAAAGAAGCCACAAATCCCTCCTCTTCCTCTCATTCCCCTGTCTACACAATCAACAAGTTTCCAGCATTGAGAGCAGTCAATGAAAGAAAAGAATGAATTACAAGGTCCACTGCTTTCAACAGTCACAAATGCTCAGATCAGACTTGTAGGTAGAAGTTCTAAAAACATTTGAAGAACAACCGCATTCTCATGTGCTAGATACAATGTACTCTGAGGTCTCTATCCCTATATTTAAGGATAAATATTTGAAATTTCTCTCCTCCTTCATGACCCTGTGGAACAGTACAATCAAGATGCTGTGGAGCAGTGCAGTCAAGCTTCATGTAACACCTCAGTATAACACTCAGTAGCAAATCTGAATTAATTCAGACTGTATTAAAAGGATTAGCTTTTAATTTGAGATGAGTACTGATCACTGTGAAACAAGAGCAGATTTTTCAGTTAAAGACAGAACTTCAAAAAGACACACCACAAAAGCACAAACACAATTGAGAAGTAACAGACCACTTGCTATGATACAATTCACCAAGTTAATGACTAAAGTAATTAGTGTTTTAATGAAAGCTTTGCCTAACTAGAGTACAAAACATTTTCTGGTTGCACTTCAAGTTACAAAAACAGACTTTCATACCACTGATCAGACATGAATTCAAACTGACTCTAGAAAATCTGATTTTGAAGTTACAGCCCAAAACTCCACAGATTACAGGAAATGCAAATTAACTTCTGCAACCTTGAAGATGCTTGATGTCAAGGCCTCCAATTCTACAAGACAAGCCATCATAAGATATGTTATTTATGAACAAGAGTCCACCAGAACTACTACAAGACTGTTCACCTTTTAAAATGTATGTTCCTGCACAAAAAATGGCAACCAAGAAAAGTTAACTGCTAGCCATTAATTTTGTGTTAGAAACATCTTTATTCATCTTCTGAAACAGATTAACTCAGAATTCACAAAGACATTTATAGGAAACAGTAACCTTCACGCTTGACAGTGCAAGTAAAGGAAGCAAGCATAGAGAATTCCAAGCAGAGGTGAGTATTTATTCTTTCCACAGTTTCTGTTCTGTACACTATTTGTACTTCCTTCAATCCAAAGTAAGGACAGGAGGAAGTCTGCAAAGTGGTTCTTTTAATTAAAAGCCTGTGTTGTACAATTCACTTTTTCATGAAAAAAAGTTTGCAGCTGCATATATTTCAGCTGTATGCACAAGTACAAATACATTTTCACATAGACTCTTAAAGGGAACAGAAATGTCATACCTACCTGTCACATTGTTGCATTATAGAGATTTCTTTAATTATTTCTTGAAGATCTGACTCCACAGGGACCTGTTTAATTGCTACAACTTGCCCAGACTCTTTGTGTATTGCTTTAAACACACTACCATAAGACCTAGAAATAAGAGAGGAAACATTATTTAAAAACAAGACAAACTGCTTCTCATTTCCATTATGCACGAAAAGTCACAGAAGTCATACATTCATGCAGAAGTTTCAGGGTTTTTTCAGGATGCTGGAACCTCAGGAAGATGTGCCTCTGAAGGAATGCATCTTGGCCAATATTTAGAGTATCTAATTCCAGTACAGATGCAAGCACCTTTGCAGTGTTAACAAACAACAGACATCAAAAATGCATAAAATATTTGAGGACTGTGGAAATCTACTGATGCATGCATTTGCTTTATTATTAAAACTTGTCTTTAGAACTACTCCTTAGGACATTTACAGTTACTCTCTCTGTAACACAATATTCCAACATATGCTTTATGTACTGTTTCCCTCTGATCCAATCCTCTTATAAATAGCTGCACTTACCCTTCACCAAGTTTCTCCAGAACATCAAAGACTTCTTCAGGCTGCTTAGTTAAACTGTCTTCACTTAGCTTTTTCAGTTTGCTAAAAGAAAGACAAAAATCATTTGTTTGTTTGGAAGAGGAAGACAAAACTCAAGCAAATTTTCACACAAGTGAGCAGACAGAAAAAAAATTATAAAGAAAAATATATTTCAATGAAAAGAAAATACTTAATTGATGTGTAGCAATAAAATTTTATTTAACCATAATATAAGATGGATAAAGTTATGACAACTTTTGTCATTATTACTTTCCCACTAATGTTTGCTCTATTCAAAGTGGCATGGGATGGGTTCACTGTCCAAACCACTTCCTTTGCTAAAGTAGAAACAGATAAAGGACACAGTAGAGTTCACCTTCCATCAAAAGCAGCCAGCAAACGACATGCCCATTATTGCCTAGAGAATGCCATGTTGTTATCTAAGGAAGCATAAAGAAATCCTTCACCCACACGAAGTATTCACTTTTTTAAACTGTACCACTCATAAGCAAGTGAATGACATTGCTAAAAGCAGAACTCCAAGTAAAGATGATTTTGGAAGCATGTGGTAGGACTTCCCCTTCTCAGGTGGTAGCAGAACACCAAAATTCCAACAGCTGAGCACTGTAAGAGTTGTTGGGGCAGCCCCTCTTGCATCTCTGTGAATGTACAGAGGGACAGGTGCAACAAAATCTCTAATTACATAACACCACCGTATTTTGCCCTTAGTTCTCTCTCACACAGTCTCAAACCCCTCAGCACACCCAATGATTTCTTCCAGCACCTTCAACTCCCTCTCAGCACTATTCATTGTCCTTCACAAGCAGTCCCAGCCTTTGCCAGTTTCCAGCATGCCCATCTATCCAGCACCCCAGACTCTGGCAGATCTCAGAACACAACTTGGTTGCAAGCTTGCAATAGAGCCAACACACTGAACGTAGCACAGAAAAGTAAAACCACAAACGAATGTAACCACAGATATTTACATTGCAGCAAGGCAGGTTGGCTGTAACATGTAAATCTTTCACCCTAAAAGTTATAGGGAATTTTGGTGCAAGATTGAAATAACAAGTTAACCCTACGTGATACCCAAGGGTACTGTTAAAGCAGAAGATGAGTTGAAGAATAGTTGGTGCTGTAACGTCAGATATAGACAATGCATTCCATGTGCAAGAGGAGGAAAAGGAAAAAAAAAAAAACAACAACTTTGAAACACAGCAGATCATTGAGAACTTAGGGAAAATATTATCTCACAACACTTTACTGGAAATTAACACAAAATAGAAGGGAGGAGGGCATGGACAGAAAAGATTCACAGATCTTAATATGGTAAGAATACTGATGAAAGAGAAACTCTTTCATATCAGGCGATGCAACTCTTTGATATACAGAATTATTAAAAATTAAAGTGAAAGGACTAGTGAGGGAATCTCTGAGTCAGAAGAGACTTCTAATTGCCAACCATGTAAGTAAAGACAAAATTTTAAAATAACTGTAAAAGCACACAGGTCACATGGATTGGTGTTAAACAAGGGAAGCAATGGCAAGGAGGAGGCACAAAGGTGGACACATTTACAAAAAGCATCCACAGTCAGTAAGGAAAGGTGCATGAGCTACAGTAAAGACCATGTATTTTGCTACAGCAAACAGGTAGGAAGCTGGAAAGCGTGTGTGTTTAGGGAAAATAAAAATCTTCACAGCAGAGGAAAGGCACAATACATGAAAATGAAGCAAAACAGCTGAAAATTCAAGTAAGAACAGTTATATAAAGTCTGCAAAAGTGACCTACAAATCGAACACAAGAACAAAACTCTGGGGTTTTTTGGTCTCTCACTCTGCTGGTTTGACAATAGAAAACAGAAAGATAGAATTTAAATCTTGCAGGAGGGAAGCATGTATTTCATTACTGAACAAGTGTCAGTGGAGACAAAAGAAGAAAAAATATTTTGCAGATAAATATTAAAGTAACAAATAATTAACTTTGATTCTTTGTATAAAATTTGTTCCCCTCTGAACAGGCTATATGCAGCCTTAAAGGCAGCATTCAAGAGTAAGTTGCTGTAATCCTCCTCTGCATTCCCACAACAAAAAGCACACTAAGTATGTTTATGATACAAGCAGAGCCCCAAAAAATAAAAAGCATGAGCTTTAGTTGAGTCTCTCGCTTGACTGAAGGGCTGCTTACAAGAAGATGTACGTAACAGAACAGCAGAGGGACTGAACTTTTTAGGAACAGCAAGAAAAGGGAAAACATACAGTAACCCTGACCGGAGATGCCTACAAAGAGTACACTTCCACCTACTCACCAAAATAAGCTAGAATTAGAAAGAGAAACAAAAAATCCATACCAAAAATGTCTCCAACAGCACCATTAATGCCAAGGCATTGGGAGTGCCCTGAGAAAAGTTATGGAAACAGTCACAGCCATAAACTGATCAAAACCAATGTCACTGTCAAATAACAGATTATCCATAGTACTTAAGAGGCAACCAGGTGACCAAAGAAGTAGTTTTAAAGTTATTTTCATGATACTTAACTCTGACAAACATTTTATGAGACCAAATTGTACTTAACAGCTAAATACAAAACCTATTTACAGAAAGAAAGGTATGTCAACCTCAGGAATGTCATCACCAAATACACTGCTCAAAGCACCTCACACTTCTTCACAAACACTGTGTCGTGTTCAAGTGATGGTATTAACACCACAATTCCTTCAGCCATAGAAATATCCTAATGACTCAGACTGTTTAATGATTTCTGTTTCTAGATGTTTATAGAATATTCAGCTCTTGAACTACAGAGCAGCACACGATATACCCCGAAGGGTTGCAATAAAGAAAGCATTTATGAAAACTTTGTGAGAAACAAGGAAGAAGGTGGCAAGCAGTGTAACTGGCTGTAAAGCACCAAGCAGAATGCAAAGAGATGAGACTAGAAATATACTGTTGGTTAAAAACAAGCAACTAAAACTAGGGATAGAGAAACACAGCTAAGACTTCAGAATCAGCTTCATTACTGGGGGTATGGGAGGAGAGGTCAGGAGGCACAAATGAAGAGACAAAGGGCTCAAGAACAATGGGACAGAAAGAAAGAGTGTCTTATTCCTCTCTCCCTCATTCATCCCCTACTTTCATAACACAAACATTTAAAACAGAATAAATAAATCAGTAAATTCAAGCACTGTTTTCTTCTGGCAACAGGACACAAATGCCATATATTTATATACATATGTGTGTGTATATATAAATACACACACATATGTATATATGAAGAAGTCTAAAGGAGATGCAGAGAAGTTCTGTAGCAGAGAGGGCAGAAAGTCATTCTAGTTTCCTTTTCTCTAGACAATCATCAGGCAGTGAGTATGAGCTATTTTAGAGGTCTTCCAGATGGAAAACTGTTCCCAAAATCAGAAGGACTAACTAAACTGCAACTCTGGGACAAGAGCTGTCAAAAATATTTTCTTGTTCCAAGGAGGTTTGACTTTCTATGTAACAACTAGTCCCTCAACAAGAAAAATACATCCTAGCAAATAATTTTACTTTTATAAATCCAGTTGATAGGAGTAAACATTAATACTTAGCCTGACCAGAATCTTATGTGTCATTGAGTACATGAGCAAAACTTCACAAAAGTAAATGCAGAAAAACTGAGAAATAGTAAGAGGCACCAATCCCAGCATAAAGACCAGAACTGCCATATAGCAAAAAGATTAAGACTTCCTGCCTTAACATGGAAAAAATTAAGTATGAGTTTAGTGTCCTACAGTCATTATACATAGATTTTACACAATAAATTGGTGATATGCAACTGAAGTAGGCATAAAAAAACCCAGGAGATTCAAAAGAAGAATAAAGCAGAAATAAAGACCAGAACACCGTCAATTACCGTCATGAGTTACGGAAAACTGGACAGCTGCTCCATGAAACATGAATATATGTGGTTTACTTTGCAGAAGAGCTAGCACACTGAAACATTTAAAACGAATGGCTGGGATCAATTATATTGATATAATAAAAGAGAAGGTAGTAAGAGAAATCACTGCATTCATCAGAAGTAGAAGTGCCATATGAAAGCCTTGAGACATTGCTTTACACCATTCACACAAACAGAAGCAAGATTAAGACATTCTACAGCATTGCACAGTGTGCTTACATTCAGCTTTCCATCAATAAAACCCAAACAAACGTACATTTTTGTCCCATCATTTTCAGGAGGAACTTGACAACTGTCAATGTGTCCATTGCCAGAAGCATTAAAAACTATTTTTTTTTTCACAGACAGTTTATATTCTAAGAACAAGTTTTTCCTCTTCCCACAAAACCTGAAAAGTTATACTTCAGTGAAAATTAAATTGCTCAAGTTCAAAGTAAGGGTTGGATAACCTTAATTAACACTCCCCATATTTGTTAAGCAGCCTTTTATTTGGCAACAGTGTGCAAGAAATAGGCAAGATTAAGAACTATGTATTTGAGAGAATTCTGTCTCTAACTAGTTTGCTTTTCCTTTGTATGCAACCTATCTCCTCATACGTGAATATGCCAACATATACAGAAAAACAATGAGAGGAAAGTTACAAGACAAATTCTGTAACTATTTCAAGAGAGAATGTCCTTTTTAGTGTGATAAAAAAGTATAAATCAGATCCAAAGTATAGTTAGAAATTCAGATGTGAGAAAATAGTGTCAACTACTGCACAAATTCTCTTCAGCATAAAATCAGAACACCTGCTCTAAACTATTTTTTAGAGCAAAAAAAAATTATTCTGAAAAGGACTCCTCCTTAGAAGTCCTCTGTTACTGTTGCAGTACATTGGTCAAAGAAGAAAAGCTAGTTGTTTTGACACCATCCCCCATGAAAAGTCACAATGGGCATCACCTTGCATGGGACTGTCACTTGGGCATCATCACTGCTACTTCCCAGAGGGCTGTTTTAAAGATTTACACAACAACACAAGCAGACTGTGTGTTCCTTACAGAGAAGAGGGGATAAAAGTGCCCTATGTCTCTAAGGAAACACTGAGATTCTAGGTCATCCATGCAGCTTTGAAGTGCTGAGATTCTTCCTACCTCTAAATGGACCTCTTGCACCACAAGTATGATGCCAACAGATCCCTGCCAGTAACTGCTCCTATGGACAAGGGGCACCAAAGTAATGAATTCTACTGCTCTCATCTGTTTTGCCAAGTAAACACTGTGTGTCCACTTCAAGCCACTCCTGCAACCAAGGACAGCATCAAAAAGTCATCCTACAAAAAATAATCTGCACCCCTTCTGGACTTGCAGAAGAAGGGGGTGGTCTAGAAGAATAGCTGGGAATGCCAACAATCAGAAAACTGTAAAAAACAACAGGTAAAGGGGATATATTTGCACATTTATGAAAAACTTTGTTCAAATCTTATGCAAACCTGAGTTCTTATGAAAAACTGAGTTCAAATCTTTTCTTCCTCTAAAGAACCAAACTCACTGAATTCTCATCACATTCAAACTTCAGCAAATAAGCTTCATAAAGCATGTGAATTATAAAAATTTGTCAGAGTTTGGATGTTCCCTCATTGGTTTTCTAATTATTCCTGACTGAATCTAAAGATTTAAACAATTTCTCACTTTCAGTTAGGCCAGACACAACACCTCCAGCTAGACAATAAGGTCATAGCAAATCCCATATCTTCCCAAAAACATCTTTTAGGTCATGCTAACTCTGCAGTTTGATTTTCAATCCTTTCATATCACCAGATCCCAAGTTTTGCACTGGTGCTGGTGACATCGACTATTACCCAGACATTTTTGTTTCTTTTCCTAAACCCTTGCTGGTGCCTGTCCTACTTCCTTTATTTGAGACATACAGGACTGTCAGGCTGAACTTACAGTGTAGGCCTGTCCCTCCTCATCCCATTGCCTGCCAACACCACCCTAACACAGCAACTACAAACCAATTCTTGGTCAAAATTTTTTGTAGTAGATACTGTCACTTAATGTACTGTTAGAGGAGAAACTATCGGAAGTTCAAGACTGCATTCTTCTCCAGTCCTGTCATCCTGCAGGAAGCTGCTTTTAAAGGATCTTAAAGGCTCTAGAAGTAGAATGTAAATGTTTTAAAGTAGAACGTAAAAACTGGTTTATTATCCACTACCACAAATTTATATCGTGTAGTCCCTAGATTTTTCACTACGTTATCAGGAAGCTAAAGTAAAATTAGAGCTCTAAAACAGTAAGTATATATGTAAATTGTCTACCTATATTCTGTATACAACACAACTAAATCCTGTGTAGTCTACAACTATACCCAAGAAAGGATTGTTCAAATCGAAATATATGATTACCTTTAAATTCAATACAATTAAAGTAAAATTATTTTGCGTACTAAGAAGTCGTATGGCAAATCATCAAAAAAAGAAAACAAAACCACCAGACACAGTAGCTAATATGACCTGATAGCCTACGTATTTCAGAAAATACATCTACTGTGAGAATACTCTTGATTTTTGCGTCTTCCCACTCCCTGATTTGCATTTGCAACTATGCACTGCCCACCCCCACAAGCATCCATCCCTCCAGCAGCAGGGCACAGGGCACTTTCCAGCATGGAAAGAGAAACTACTTGTGCTGGCTGACTCCTGCCAGAGACCTGAACTACCGAGTGCGCAGACCCCCAGCACACAGAGCGCTCTGTTTGGTGACCAAATTTCCCTCATTTCACATTAAGAACGTTCCCCTCGTAACTCAACCAGCCTCAGAGGGTTCGCCTCCACCTGGGCATTGACCGGGGCGAGCACTTCGGGACGCTCCCGCACCGCAGACCCTCCCCAGCGCGACACAACCCTGCGGCTGCCGGGCTGGGCTCAGCACCCTCCCTGTCCCGCCGCCCTCTCACAGCCCCGGCACCGAGGCCTCGCCCCGCTCCCTGGCGGGAGAGAGGCCACAGGGGGAGGGTCGTTACCTCTTGGGCGCTGCCTGCTCCATGCCGCCGGCGCTGCCGCCCCCCGGGGCTGCCGGCCGAGCCCCCGAAGCCCGCGCAGCTCGGAGCGGGCTCGCCGCCCTCTCTCCCGGCCCGCGCAGCTCGGAGCGGTCTCGCCGCCCTCCCTCCCGGCCCGCGCCCTCCGCCGGCCGCGCTCCCGCCCCGCCGCCACCGCCACCTCCGGCCGCGGCGGGGCCCGCCCCCCGCGCCGCCCATTGGCTACCGCCGCGCCGGCGCCGGCGTTGATAGGGCAGGACGGACGTCGCTCAGAGAGGCGGTGGGAGGCGGCCCCGCCCCCCGGGCGGAGAGGGCGGTGCCGCGGCGGGAGGGGAGAACATGGAGGCGGCGGTGCGCCCGAGCTCCCGGCACGCCCCGCGCGGCGGCCCGCAGGGCACGCCGGGAGGTGTAGTCCTCGGGGGTCCCCTCCCTCCCCGCCCGCGGGGGGCCCTTCGGGGAGGGGCTGGGCCGGGCCGGGCCGGGCCGGGCGGGAGCCCCGCGGCGCTGTCCCGCCTGTGCATGGCATCTCCCGGACCGGGAGCTGCGCTGCCGGGCAAGGGCAGCCCGGGGCAGCGCCGCTGCCTGAGGGCGGCTCTTCCCCGCAGACACCGTCGTGGCCTCGGGGCGGCCGCGCCTCTCACCCGCCTGTGGGCGCGGGGCGAGGAGCCGCGCCAGCCCCTCCGCGGAAAGGGGGTGTCTTCGTGGGCAGCTGGCTCCAGAGCTTGCTAGGGGAAAGCCTGAAGTCACGGCAGGACGGGGCAGCTGCCCCGCTCGGGTGGCACGGCAGAGCTCGGAGGTGTGAAGTGCTGGCGCTTGAGCGCTTGGCGCTTGAGCACACGAGTCGCCCTGCAAGGCCGGGGGAAGCTGTCACGATATTATTCAAGAAGCAGATTATAGGCCACAGAGCACCCTGTGACAGTTACTGCAATTTCACTGCATTACAACTTCTGACCTGCTGCTGCTCGTGTACTTGGATCTGTTGTATCCAAGTAGATCCAGTCAAGTTAATACAAGAAAAGCTTAAATGTTCAAGCCATTTTCTATATTCTTTCCTGACAGTAGGTTTATTTGTCTAACTAATGGAAGTTTGAGGTAGTAAAACACTTTAGCAAGTTCCATAAAAATATTGAGATGCCCAATTTCCACTTCAAACTGATTTTAAATATACAAGTATTACAACACCCCTAAAAAAATGTGCACTCCATACCTAATTTCATCTCTTTGATGTGCATTAGCAAGGGAATTTTGAATGACTGAAATCCTACTGTTGTGCAAGTCTTCTACTTTGTCTGAGTCAATCCAACCCAGTTGACTCACTGTGGTGGAGCCAAATGCACAATGGCAATATTGAATGAACCCATAAAACAAATCACACACCACCATATGACCTTTTAGGTTTCTTTGTTTTTCTGAGTCATGGAAAAACTGCAATAGAACATCGTTCTTTGCACAACAAATTAATGCAGAGCTCTCCCAAGTATCATCCCACAAGCCAGAGTGGCTCACCAGCAGGACTGCCAGATGCGCCCATACCATAGACAACAGTTTGTAGGATGTGCCAAAGAAAAACCACCCAGAAGCAGCCAGCAGATGCCTCAGATGCAGTATGGTATGAGTGCCTTAGAAAGTGGTGGGGAAGAACCACAAAACTTCCCATCTCCCAGTTCTAGGACAGGTGAGGTCAGGCTGATAGCAAATACCATGTGACTAGTGTGCAGCTTGGTTTTACAGTGTATTTGGCTATACCCACTGACCAGTTATTATTTACAGTTCACCAGTTTCACCTAGTGAAACAGGTCCAACATCCCTTTTTGGCTGTAATACTCATGGAATGCAGAGGCTGTCTCCACATCCTATAACACAAATTTTTAAGGCAATATTTTGTCCAGGTTGTTTCAGGGGAGGCAGGTTTTGCTTTCCCCTCTCAAGCCGAATCTGCCACAAACTGTACATTAAAGCAGGGTAAAGGATTCTTAGAAAAAAAAAATACAGGTACTATATTCTAGTTGTAACAGCAATACAAAGAAAGGGAGCCAAGAAGTGCTCCCTCTACCCATTCACACAAATACTTATTTCTCTGGAAAATTTAGGCTAAACAGTCTAATCTGCCACTCGTACCTCCCCCTTAAACAACAGCTGACAAGAGCACATCTAGAGAAAATCCGTTGAAGAATAGCAGATTTAGATATTCTCTCTGTTCATTCAAAACTATTGAATACCACAATCCTCATATCCAAAAAATACCCTGACTACTCAGTAACTGAGGAAAAGGGTGGCAGGAGTGTCCTCCATCTATGCCATTGAAGAAAAGTGCGTAAAAAAAACAAGAAACAGAAAAAATTAGGTAACCTGGTTTTATAACTTGGTGAAGCAGACAGTGCCAAAAAAGTATGGCCTAATTCCATGCCTTTCTCATAGAAATTTCAGTTGTGTCTTAAGCAACTGCCAGAATCCTTTCTAAGTCCATTTAGGCTGGAAATAAAATATCAGTAGGATAACATATATACAACAGTGTTTTGCAAGATCACTTTATTCATCTCTTATAATTTCAAATGGTATTTTTAATCAATGACATTGGAATAAATAACACCATCTCACCTTTCCCCTGTGACGTGAATTTGGGAACCATGCTGTGAAATATGACACTGATTTGGTATTCATTACAATACTGTACCTAGCCACTGGCAAAGAAGGAACTTTGAAAGGGAAAACAGACTCCCTCTGTTCTTCTACCTCATTCAGACTTTCCAGTCAAGGGAAGTCTAGATGTTCTGGAGGCATGAATATACTATGAGATTGCTGGTGTCTAGACAAGATGGAGATGAGGAAGTTGCAGACAATCTACATGAGTATTCCCATGATTTCTTCCAACAGTGGAACTAACACTATTAGGAAGTCAGCTGAGTAAGAAAAGGCTTAATGTAGCCCAATCTTAAAAATATAGAAGAAAACTAACTGAATTACTCTCTTTCTTCTAAAGTATTTCATCCACTTCACAAATTTATCAGCATTAATTAGGACTCCCTTCTCTGCAGAACTGGCATCAACATCAAATATAATTCCTTAGACTAAAGGATGGATGAAGACCATACTTAGGTTTTGAGTACTATAATTATTTTATATTATAATGTAGTTTTGTAAACAGATAAAATAATTTATATTATAATTACTTATACTGCAATGAAATCAGGAATCATGATGTCATGGACAAATGTTAGGTGCTGTATAACTAAGAAAGTCCCCAAGCCCCTACATATATGAACAAAAAGGTTCCAAGATGTCAATCCTGCCTCACTTGTGCGTAGTTCATAATAAACCTGAGAAGTATAAAAATTACTTGAGAAGCTCGTGTCTGAGTTTCTAACAGGTATTACTGATGTTAGGATTTAAATTACAAATATGTACTTCAAAGTCATTCATAAACATCTTGCAAATAGATTATGTCTGTTATAGTAGGGACCTTATCTTGTTCCTTTGGTAGCAAATAAAAGCAGTGTTTAGTTCAGAAGGTATTTGATCAGGCTCATTTAAACAAACTGCATTGTAATGAGTATGTGACGCAACTAGAAAACAGCAGAATTAATAAACAGTACATGTGTTCCAAGAGGTAAATGTCATGAACACATTGTGCTCCCCAAACAAAATGCCCCTAGTCCTTCATCACATCTATGGTGCTTTTCACATCCCATCTCTTTTCCCCATATGCTTTCTACCCTTTCACCGTGGTACGCTGCCAGTTCTTTCACAGGGTGCACAGTGCTCTCTCCTTTAACATCCCTGTATCATTCCCCACGGATGCTGTGTCTGCATCACACCTGCCTGTTAGCTCCCAGCACGAGGGGTTTGGCTCGCAGAAGGATGCAGGCCAGTCCACAGTGTGGTCCCAGACCCAGCACCTAAGGACAGTTTCCCTTACTTTTCCCTTGCCATGGGGTGGACATTCCCACAGACAGGCCATTCCCTCCTCTACCCATGAGTTTTGTAAAAATAGGAACTTACTATAATGACAGACCTCAGCTTTTCATCAAACATGGTCAATACTAGTTTATAAGAGACAAATGGTTATGAAGGGGAGAAAGGCAGGCAGTGGCAGGCAAGCACAAAGATGGAGTGAATGCAGGAGCCTGCTTTCCTTGGAATCCAATTCATAAATTCAGTAGACAAATAGTCAACAACAACATGTTTGCATGTCTCTCCCTGTGACTGCCTGATAACCATCTGGTATGCTGAAAGTTAAGGAAAAGGCCTTGAATGAAATACTGGCTTGTTTATACAGAAGATAAGAAAAAATTACTTCTGCTTGTGTTTTTTTCCTACCTATCATGTCTAATGTGAAGCAACCTTGAAGGCTTATCTAAGAATTTGCTATATACTTTCCTAACCCTGTCAGTCATAAAATAGTTTATAAATAAAGTATAAAAGAACAGCATATTCTCAAATTTGGAATAAAATTTATATATTTATAGTGAGTTTTTAATCAAGTTTAGGAATACAGAACAATTGCGAGGGGTTTCTTTTCCTGAAGTATTTACAATTTAATGGTTAATTAATGTCACCTAAAAGGAAATTGACTTTTTGCTGGTCCAACAAAAGAAAGATGCAGAAAATAAATAGTCAGGCAATATAGGTACAGATTCTGCCATCTGTATTCACTCTGTTAAAGTCAGCATGATTCACAAAATTCCTAGTTGACATTAAAAAGAGGTGTAAAATCCGTAAAATATTAGCTGCACTGCTACAATTTCTCTCCCTACCTAGTATGCATTATTTTGATATCCAAAATATTATTACTAGACCTAAAGACATTTGTTGATTGGGATAGGATTTTCTGTTGACTAACCATTTAGCTCACAGTCTTGGTAACAGGCTATATATAGACTTACCATTTGCTATTTTTCCTATTATAGCACACTATGGTAAAAATAAACCATGGATACAGAGTTGCTATTTACAGTTGACCACAGAAGATATTCCAGTCTGTACTACAGCTGCATTGATTGTGCTCCTGGGATCTACAGATTGCCATTAACATGAAAAAAAAATCTCATTTTGCTTCGTAAAACAATTAGTGTTGTTGTGGTAATACTGAGGGTTACTCTGGATTCCCTTCCGCACAAAAAT